AAATCATTCCCACTCACTGGAATTAAGGGTTAATGTCTATCAGACTCAGGGGGTTCAATGGAGAAACAAACGACCTTTTTCCATATGCAAAAAAGTGCCCAAGACAGGAGGTAGCGGTGTATGCTAAGGTTCGTTGGTTAATTGTTTTACAGGGCCTTTTTGACACCTACGAAATTTTTAAAACACTGATGTTTAATCAGTTTTACTTTCAGGTGTTAGTGGGAGGAAAGGCTTTGGAGTCTTGATAGAGTTGGAAAACTATAAGTACTTTCTTCCTATAAATAAAATTTATTGGGATGGAGCTCTTTTTTTTTAACATATCATGTCTGGCTACTTTCATCCTTTAGAAGTAGAGCTGAGTAGTTCTGACAGAGACTGTATGTCTGCAAAGTCTCAGATGTGTACTGTCACTTTCACAGAATAAAGTCGTTAACTCAGGCTCTCGGAAAATCCTGCACATTGTGGAAATGACCTCGTAGCTTGGGATTTCATTCAGCAGTTCAATTCTACAGGCCTTCACTGAATTGTACTTGTGCAGGTACCAGAGCTGGGATCCAAGAAAGTAGACAGAAGCAGGATAACTTTATGGGCTCCTCCAACTTTCATTTAGTTATTTTCTCTCAAAATTTTGTGATGAAAAAATTTCAACATATAGAAAAGTTGAAAGAAATTGAAGCACCCATGTGACCCACGTGACACCTGGGGAACTGGGACTCCAGGGGCCTTGTGGGCTTGAGGTCCTTGCAAGGGCTGACACGGCAATGCCTGGCTGGGATCAGTGCTGATCGTCTCAGGGCCATGATCTCGACTGTTTGCCACCCTGCCCGGACCGAGTGGATGAGAGACGACTGCTGGAGGCAGGACCCCTCAGCACTGACACCATAGCAGGCCGAGCTCAAGGCTCACCGTGCAGCCAGTGGCTGTGTGCAGGCGGTAGCGGTCGGCCCCACTGTAGGTGGTGTAATCATGTAGCAGCTGCTCCTACCAGCTGCCCAGCGGCCGCCACGTGGTGCAGTCCAGCTGGTGGGTGCCTGGGCTGTTAGGCACATGCCAAAAGCCATAGCCTGCAAGCTTGCAGAGACCAAAGCTGTCCTGGGACCACACCTGGAGATGGAGCAGGGGCCAACCTTGGAGACCTTTGGTAGTGAAGTGCAGGTCAATGTGGTGGGATCAGTGGGCCATGTCCCCCACCTAGGGTGTATCTGCCTGTGTCTGGCCCTCCTGCACGCCCGACAGAAGCTTCTGTGCTGCCCCTTTGTGGATGTCCCACTTGCAGAAGAGGCTACTTTCAGAGAAACTGGTGGCCTCTATGATCTGCCTGATCAGGTGCACCTCAGCTATGGCCCCAGCCATCCTGGGAAGGCCCCGCCCCAGGGGAAGGTGACTCCTCCTATAGTGCAAAGTGTCTCGTCATATATCTATTCATCATCCATGCACCTTGTTGTCGTTATTATTGTTATTGTTCACACATTCATAAAAGGTGCAGACAAAACATTAAGTAGAGCTTACTTCAAATTAGTTTTCATTTTGCCCCCAATACTGTGGTCTTAAAAGCAGCCTTCCTTTGGCCAGAAGATACAACTTTACAAAAGTTGAAAACTGAGAAAGGTTATCGGGTAATTGAGGTAAGTGTCAAGGGAAGCATTCACCTAGATTTCCCTACTTCCCTCGTTCAGAAATGAATCAGCCTTTCAGGGCTCAAAGTGTTTTGCTTGTGATGGATTCTAGGAAAGTTTTGTGTTTCTAAAGAGAGGGTCATGAGCTGTTCTTTTCTGGGATGCTGCCAAAAACAGGGAAAGACAGAGAACAGTTAGGGGTTTTATGTAACGGTTAGTCACGTGTGGCTTCTGGGTCACAACCATGGTTGATTGAGCAGAAATGGAAATCACATGAACCCATCTTTACTGGATATATTTGGATGTCTTCAACCACCGCAGTGACTTTCATAAATTAGTATTTACAAAAGAATCAGTCCTTGACTTGGGGCCAACTGCTTTCCTGGGTTCAGTGAATCTGAGTGCCTAACATGGAATAATCCAGCGATATTTGTCATTTAATGAATACCAGCTACACTGCCCTGGGAGGCACATTACCAAAATCTGCAAGAAAAATATTTTTGAGCTGACAGTTTAAAAAAAAGCAAAAAATGGCAAGAGATGAAATGTTTAAGATGTCCACATACTTGTATAAGATGTATCTTTGCAAAGAAATTCAGCGAGTTCTACAGATGAGGAAAATAAAATTTTGGGATAAAAAAGAAAAGAAAAAGATCTACTATGCAGACTATGTGGGTGTCTTTAAAGATTATAATAGTCACTTGGAATCATTTAAGGAAGGTTCTGCTCATTGCCATATCAGCACGAACTTTTCTTTTATGTTTGTCAGAATTCCAAGGGTGACCCATGCTCGTAGGTCCAGCTGCCTGCTCTGCACTCCTTGTTTCCAGTGACAGGGTGAAAAGGGCTCAAAGCCCCATGTACAGCATCACATTTCTCTTCTCACGAATGGACCCTGTGGTAGGCTAACCACATGCCCTGTATCCCAGTTGTAAAAATTCCTATCTGTAATCGAAGCTTTATTGAAAAATAGTCACATCCCTTTATTTATTTATGTCCGCTTCCTTGCTGCAAAGGTCAACTGGAGCAGGCTCCATGGAAAAATCTATGTAGTCTGCAAAGTCGAAAATATTTACTCTCTGGTCCTTTACAGGTACAGTTTGCTCACCTTGTTTTAGAGGCACCACTTTCTTTCCTTTCTCAAAACCAGGCACCTTTTGCTGTTTACCAAACAGGAGGCACAGCCCTGCCTGCACTTCTGATTCACAGGCCCAGCAGTAAACCAGGTCGCCTCACTGCAGGTGCAACGCCTTATCCTCCAGGGCCAAGCCTCCAGTTCCTGGTCAGGGTATCCCACCATCAACGAAGCTCATTTACTTAATTATTTTTGGCACTGGGAATGGAACTCGGGGCCTTCACTTGAACCATATACACCCTGGCCCTTTTTGTCTTTTGAGATTAGGGCCTCCTAGGTTGCCCAGGGAGGACTTGAACTTGGGACCCTCCAACTGTAGTCTCCTAAAGTGCTGGGATTACAAGCCCCCAGGCTCAGGTAACAGTCAAGCTCTTGGCCAACTGTCTCCCCCTCCGGTGTGTCTCCTCTTCCTGCAGAAACAGAGATGTCTTAGCTTCTTGCCTCATTTTCACCTCCCTCCGACCCCAAGACAGCAGGAATACTTATTTATTCAGCAGACACCCGTGCAGTGCCTAGGACACGGCAGGCTCATCTGACTCTCATTCTGGCCCTACGAGGTTGGTACTGCTTTACTGTCATCGCCAGCCTCATTTCACCCAGGATGACTCAGAGGCCGGGAGAGGCTGAACCGCCTGCGGGCTGCTGAAGGTCATATCAAGTGGTCCCTGCAAGGACTGGAGGAATCATTGGAATCCGTGTAGCCCAGCTCAGAGGAATGAGTGACAAATAGACTCCAGTTAGACTGGTTCCCCCTCCAAGTTGAACTCCGGGCCTTTGTCCTAATCTCCGGGCCCAGCGCGCCCCCCAGTGGCCGGGGAGCGCATCTCCTCCGCCTGGCCTGGGCGGAGCGCCAGGCCAAAGGACTTTAGAGCTGAGCCGGGAGAGGCGCAGGGCGGGGCGACAGGATCCGAGCCTAGGGTAAATAGGGTGTCGCCCCTGCCCAGCACCCCAGTCGTCCCCCACCCCCAAGACCCAGGGACTCCCGCCTCGCTGAGGCCGGCGCAGAGAAGCGCTGAGTCACTGTGAGGCGCTGGGGCCCTGCGAGCCC